AATTCCTTGCAGTTTCTCCGGTCTGTGTTGTCTTGTTAGCAAGGATGTCACTCAGCCATTTGTCTCCCTTTGGAGAAGTGACTTGTATGGAGGACTTCTCAGTGTAACGGGTAGCAGGATTGAAATGTGGCTTCAGTGTATGTAACTCCTCGGGGAGTTGGAAGAAAGAAAGGAAAAGTCGTTTGTTGTACCCGCTATGAACTAGACACTGCATTTTCTACATAATCTGATTTGATCCCCAGACCAGCCCTGGAGAAGGTGTTAATGTTCTCTGTGTTTGCAGAGCAGGAAGATGAAGACTGGTGAGATCAGAGTCCCAACTCCTGAGTGGCAGAGGCCCTGGCCAAACCCTGGTGGGCCTGTTAGATTATGATACCCAGGAAAAAACCCAGGGTGGGAGAGGTTCTTGCTGGGTAAATGTCCAAAACACGATGCCAGACCTTTTTAAAACTTTCACCAAGAAATTGCTGATTTGCTGCCGGGACTGGTTATTCTAGGTAGTTTCATGCAGATACTGACATAAACCAGAATTCAGAAATTAGTAAGAAAGTGAATGCCCACTAGGTGGAAACCTGAAAGCACGAGGACCTGCCATCTTGTTTACTGTTGTATTCCTGATGCGCAGCTCAGTGTCTCTATGTAAAAAATGAGTGAATGTATTTTCTAGCTGGTGACTACAAAATCTGCAATGTATCCATATTGGTTTATTAATGGTGACAAATGAACCGTACTGATATGAAGTAATAGGGGAAACTGGATATGGAGTGTATGGGAATTCTATCTTTACTATTTCTGGAGACCTAAAACTACTCTAAAATAGAAGGTTTATTTTTTGAAAGCGCTCTGCTCATTGCATGTATAAATCTTGTCTGAAAAGTGAACCCTGGCCTCAAGCCACTTTGAGTATTTCTCTTCTACCAGTTAATTATCTTACCATTGCCTCTCAGTGATATTAAGAGAAAACTCACCCTTAACATTTTTCATTATTTTTTAGGGTCAAAATGAGCCTGTTTGGAACAACCTCAGGTTTTGGAACCAGTGGGACCAGCATGTTTGGCAGCGCAACCACAGATAATCACAACCCTATGAAGGTACCACGAAAAGCTTCCTGGGGCTTGTAGGAAGAGTTTGGCCAGAGTTTCTCCCATCAAGGACAGAACCTGAGATGACTTGGGAGCCTCCTTTGGGCCAAAAGCTTTGAACCTTTGTCTAACTCATCTTTCTCAAACACTGGAGCACAGAAAATGTGTCCCCTCTACTAGTGTCCTGTTCTTCCTGGCCTACCAGGTCTCCAGAATCACCGAAGGTGCAGATTCCAGTGCAGATTCCCAGGGCCTGGCCCAGAACTGTTGACTCAGAATTCCCATGGTTGGGGAGAAGGGAGGGCAAGTGAAAACTATGATCTAGCACTGTGGGGCCAGAGTGAACTGGTCATTTAGAAAACGAGGCCATGGGCATTTCATCAGCAGCTGCTGTTGCTAGTCCTGGTGGTGCTGGTGCTTTCTCCAGCTTATTTTTTACTCCTCTTTTTGATCATAGTAAGGAAAGGTCTAATTCAGTTAGTTCTTGAGCACAAGGGAAGGCCACCGTGAGGTAATTAGTGAGAAAGAAAACCATTTTGAATTAAGTTGTGAGTATGCGTACATTTTAACATTGACTTTTTTCCCCTAGGATATTGAAGTAACATCATCTCCTGATGATAGCATTGGTTGTCTATCTTTTAGCCCACCAACGTTGCCGGGGAACTTTCTTATTGCAGGATCATGGGCTAATGATGTAAGTGCTCCTTAAATACGTGTTCTATAAATCATCTCTCTTTGTATGGGCAAGGTTAGCTTTAGCTCCGTTGTTTCCCAAGTAAATGAATCAGTTAGACTTATTTATGGCCTTTTTTTAAGAAATCAATTTGGGGGTGTGAACCCTTCTGAATGGCAGACATTATTTGTTCTTACACTGATTTTTATTAGGAAAGCACAAAAATGTATTGCTCGAAATTTTCTGCTGTAGTTCAATGTCTTAAAGTTTATTCCTAAATAAAATGTCATATTTATCCAGAGTGAACATTATACCCAGTGGCACACACCAACAAATTCCCCTTCTTGGCATCCTGACAGTGTTCCTCAGGCATGTGTTAAACTTTTTCAGCATTAAATAATGGCACAGATCTGCCTAAATACATACTTATCGTGTACAAAAAGAAAGAAAAAAAAATTACAATTTACTAAAAGAAAGAAAACTCTGGTAGAAAAATAAGCAAAGGGTGTAAAGAGGGGCTTCACAAAAGTAAGAATAAACCTGAACCATTCATCCATACTTGTAGTCAGAAAAATGCAAATTTAAGACTCTTTTTTCTATTAAGTTAACAAAATTAAAAGTTTAAAAGAATAATAGTGCCAGCAAGGATAAGCTGAAACCCTACATGTACGACTGGTAGGTATGTAAGTTGGCAGAGCTTTTCCACAGGATAATTGGCAATAGTTACCAAAAATCCTTAAGCTTATACCCTTTATCTCATTGATACCCTTCTGGGACTTGAGTAGGAAACCTGATAATGTGCTTCATTTGCGTTGTCTAAATTAACCTTTATAACAGCCAAAGCACTGTGAACTTGGTCTCTATTTTACGGATCAGGATGCTGAGCTTAGGGAAGTAGAATAACTGGCCTCGGGTTGCGTATCTGAGTAAGTGGCAAAGCCAGAGGCTGCAGACGCACAGTAAGGCTCAGGGCCACGCTTCTAGTTAGTCAGTGCCTGGTACTGCCTCTCAAAAAGCCATAATGCTAGTGAAAATTTTGAAAATGTTAATATCCAATAGTAATGGCACTTTATGGTGTGTTTGTATGATGGAATACCATTGTAAGTTTTTGGAAAAATTTTCAAACTGTAGCCTACAGCACGGGCAGCAGGGATTAGGAGAACAGGAGGAAAGATGGTAGTCAAGGTTGAGCAAGCTTGCGTTCTACATGTAATTTCTAGAAAGATTTCAGATGATTTGCTGCTTCAAAAAAAGGATGTTTAAAGTTGAACAGGCTGGTGATGCAGGAGGAAAGCTGTAGCTGCAAAAGCGAAGATACTGTGTGATCTAGTGTCTTCCAGAAAATATGTGTGCATGGAAAGAAGACTAAGAGCACACAGAACCATTAGCTGTGGTTGTGTGTAGTGTGATTAGGGTGATTTTTATTTTTTTGCCATATTTACAAAATCTCTAAAATGTATTACTTTTTTTAACGGAGGGGAGATTATATAAAAAAGTATTCAGAAAAGAGGTAAGTTTCTACTTTGGTCTTACCATTCAGAGAATGGTAATGGGTAAGTGATATTCTACTTTAGAAGACATTTGTCATAGATGCAGTGAGAAAATTATCTGCAATTTTATGTGTAAGCAATAGAATTTGTTTATTTTAATAGCTTAGGCATAAGAAAACAGTTGTTTTCACAGATATTTTAATTCCTTTGTTCTTGAAGTTAGATAATTAGGTTGCTATGAGAAGTCTATGTATGGTTAAGGTGTACCCCATTAGTTTTTAGGTGTTAAATGCAAGCAATACATTGTAAATTGCTTTGTTTGCGTTGAATTTTTTTATTACTACAGGTTCGCTGCTGGGAAGTTCAAGACAGTGGACAGACCATTCCAAAAGCCCAGCAGATGCACACTGGGCCTGTGCTGGATGTCTGCTGGAGTGATGTACGTTCCCTTCCGTTTCTCATGTACCCTTTTACTTAAAGTACAGAATAACTGAGAATATTTAATAATCCAAACACAAATAGCACATACGTGTTCATATTGTAAGAATTCTAAGTTTCTGAACATAAATATAGTTGTTTGTTAATGTTCTTAATGTTGGCTTTAGTTAGCCACTTTCTTTGAAAGCTTTTCTTGTGTTAAATTTTGTGTGTGTGATTTAGGAGAGTTGAATGATTAAGTGGCATTTACAAAGAAGCCAGCAGGGAAGGTGAAACACCTGTGGCGAGCTGCAGTGGGTGGGGCTCCTGGAGCACAGCATGCGCTGCAGCTGTAGAAGGTCTTCCACCTGGCAGAGGGGAGCCAAGGGATGAACAGCTGTAGATGGGCCTTGGCCTGGCGAGGGGAGCCAGGGGTTGAACACCCCAGCCTCTCTCCTCTTCTCCTGCCATTGCTCCTGGTGGCTGAACCCAAAAGTAGTGCGAATGTTAAGGGGCCTGGTGACAGGCAGACACACTGCAGTGCTGAAGAAGCTAAGCCTTGAGGACCCTTTCGAGGCCTTGTACCTGTTCGTTTAGTCAGGTTTATTGAGTCTGATTTAGTCAGGTTTATTGAGTCTGATTTGCCTGCTGTAAAATTGAACCTTTTTGGTGTACAGCTCTGTGAGTGTTAAGAAATGCATAGAGTTGTGTTCAAAATATAGAACAGATCCATCGGCCTCCAGATTCTCATCAAATTCTTCCCAACTCCCAGCCCCTGGAAACCACTGATCTGTGGTTTTTTTTTTTTTTTTTTTTTGTCCCTATACTTTTGCCTTTACAGGAATGTCATCTCCATGAAATCCTGTAGGGTGCAACCTTTGCACTCAGCATGTTGCATTAACGTATGGTGATTGTTTTGTCAGATATATTTCCTATGTTTGGGGTGGGATGCTGGAAATTAGGACAGTCATTGAGATATATCATCTGCAAAATGCTAATGTAAGTGGTAGGAGTTTCTCATAAAAGATGTACAAGTTGGTCGTAGTGGTATTGGGGGTATGCTGTTCGAATTCGTAAGAAGAGAGTGGTTAGAAGGGTCTTGATAATGAAATTTGTGATACAGAGTTCTGGTGGATATACAGTGTGTAGTGCTCCTAGGAAAATAGTAGTTAGAGCATTTATTATGATAATATTCATATATTCTATAAAGAAGATGGCAAATGAGCCTGCGGCATATTCGATGTTGAAGCCTGAGGCTAGACTCTACTTTTGTTAGATCAAAAGGGGCTCGGTTAGTTTCTGCTAGTGTGGAGACGAGTCATATGATCACGAGGGGCCATGATGGTAGAAGCAGTCAGAGGAATTCTTGTGATGAGTATGTATAAGTTAAATGAGCTGCTTATCAGTAGAACTGATAGCAGGATAGTAGCTAGGGTGACTTCATATGAAATCGTCTGGGCCACAGCTCATAGTGCGCTGATTAGTGCATATCTTGAATTAGATGCTCATCTGATCATAGAATAGACGGCTAGGCTTGATGTGGCTAGTATAAATAGGAGGCCTACGTTAAAATTAGAGGATCTGGTATAGGGAGGGGGTTTCATAAGAGGAGAGTGATGGAGAGGGCTAGGGTTGGAGCAGTAATATAAAGGGTATTGATAGGAGATGGTAAGGGCCGCCAGGGTTCTTTGGTGAAAAGTTTTATTGCATCAGCGAATGGTTGAAGCAGTCTGTAGGGTCCTACAATGTTGAGTCCTTCACGTAGTGGATATAGCCTAAGATTTTTCATTCGATGAGTGTAAGGAACGCTATCGCGGTAAGAGTGGAGATGTTAGGAGCAGGAGAAGGTTAGTTATAGGCATGTTGTTAAGAAGAGGAATTGAACCTCTGATTATAAAGTGTTTTATGCAGTTGCCAGGCTCTGCCATCTTAACAAACCCTACTCTTGGGTATAGTGTGTGATGATTTATTAGATTGAGATAGCATCATCTGTGGAGTGAGGGCACGTTATGAAGTGGGCCCTATTTCTCTTGTCCTTTCTTACTAGGAGGAATGTTAAATAGGTAGAAACAGACCTGGATTACTCCAGTCTGAACTCAGATCACACAGGACTTTAATCATTGAACAAACGAACCCTTAATAGCGGCTACACCATTAGGATGTCCTGATCCAACATCGAGGTCGTAAACCCTATTGTCGATATGGACTCTAGAATAGGATTGCACTGTTATCCCTAGAATAACTTATTCTGTTGATCAAATTATTGGCTCAGTGTGTAATAACTCACTTAGACTAGTGTGGTCTTAGTTTAGGTTGTTAGGAGATTGAATTATGTTCCGAGGTCACCCCAACCAAAATTTTTAATGCAGGGATAGGAGGCTAGGGCCTGTAGGCTTGTTGGAGTTTTTATTTGCATTGATGAGTTAAAGCTCCGTAAGGTCTTCTTGTCTTACTTGTTTATATCCGCCTCTTCACGGATAGGTCAAGTTCACTGGTTGAAAGTAAGAGACAGCTGAACTCTCGTGTGGCCATTCATACAAGTCCCTATTTAGGGAACAAGTGATGATGCTACCTTTGCATGGTCAGGATACCACGGCCGTTGAACATATGTCACTGGGCAGACTGTGCCTCTGATACTGGTAATGCTAGAGGTGATGTTTTTGGTAAACAGGCAGGGTAGGATTTGCCAAGTTCCTTTTACTTTTTGTAATGTTTCCTTAGAGCATGCCTGTGTTGGGTTAACAGTGCAAATAATAGGTGTTTATTATATCATTTATTAGTAGTGGGCTGTTAACTGTCAGTGGGTTACTCCGGTCTGATGTAAGCTTATGCAATGGAGAATGCCTTCATGTTACTTATATTAACGTTGTTGCTTCTGTTAAGTAATAGTTTAGTCCGATGTGATGTTAAGAGTTCAGTAGACTGGTTAGAATTTAAGATAGTTAGATACTGAGCTTAAATTCTTTCTTAATTAGTGGCTGCTTGTGGGCCAACTGTGGTGGTAATGTTTTTTACTTTCTGTAGGAAGAGTCTAAAGAGCCGTCTCTCTCTAGACTAACAAACTTACAGGGAGATTAAGTAATTCCATGGGTAAGTTTAAAGTTGAACTGAGACAGCCAGCTATCACCAGGCTCGGCAGGCTTGTCACTGCTACTCATGAATCTTCCCGCTATTTTGCCACATAGGTGAGTGTGCTCTTTCAGGTATTCTTGGGTAGCTCGTCTGGTTTCAGGGGACTTGGCCATTGTTCTCTATGTAAAGTTATTTCTAGTTAATGCATTATGCAGAAGGTATAAGGGCTTGTCTTTGCTTTTTATTCCTTGATATAGTTCTTTCATCTTTCCCTTACGGTACTGTCTATTGCACCAGGATAGAAATTTCACCTATACTTTTGTTTAAGGTAAATGGTTTGATTAAGAGAGTTTGATAATATTTTTCGCGAGGTTTGGGGCTAGAGTTGGCTCAGAGTGGTCAGGTCATGATGAAATCTTCTGGGTGTAAGCCGGATGCTTTGGGTTAAGCTACACTTTGGCTTGTCCAAGCACCCTTTCCAGTATGCTTACCATGTTACAACTTATCTTCTCTATACCTGTGTAGAAAATTAACAGTAATAGTGATTTCTAGAGTAGTATTTGAGGAGGATAATGGGTTTTGTGTGCGTGCTTCATGGCCTTATTCGATCAAACACTGCTCTTGGTTTACTGCTCAATCCTCTTTAAGCCCTTAGATTTCATAAAGGCTGTCGTGAGATTTTCTGGACATAGAAAATGTTGCCTATTTCTTGCCACCTCATGGGCTACACCTTGACCCAACATTTTTATGTGTGTACTTGTGCTTACTCTATAACCTTTTTTAGGGTGTGCTGCAGATGGCGGCATATAGGCCGGGGGCAAGAGACGGTGAGGTATATCGGGGTTTATCGATTATAGAACAGGCTCCTCTGGAGGGATATAAAGCACTGCCAAATCCTTTGAGTTTTAAGCTGTTGCTTGTACTACTCTGGCGAATGGTTTTGTTAATGTAACTATTAGGGTTTAGAGCTAAGCATAGTGGGGTGTCTAATCCCAGTTCTTGTCTTAGCTGCTGTGTCTTCAGGGTATTAAAGCTACTTTTGTAGTATATTTTATTTCAACTGGAGTTTTTTACAACTTAGATGGAGTTTAGCTTTATTGAGGGCAGACCTTAAACACTCTTTACGCCAAGTTCTATTAGCTTGGGTTAACTCTATGGCCACAGTGGCTGGCACGAAATTAACCAACCCTAAATATTAGTATAGCTTAGTTAAACTTCTGTTTATTACTAGATTTAACACTACTGTTTCCTGTGGGGGTGTGGTTGAGCCACGTGTTTTGAGCTGCATTTGTGTGTGCGTGCTTGATACCTGCTCCTTTTGATCCGGGTGATCTAGAGGGCGTTTTCACTGGGGTAGGGATGCTTGCATGTGTAATCTTACAAATAACTAATAAAAAGGCCAGGACCAAACCTATCTGTTTATGGGGTTGTGTGGACCCATCTAGACATTTTCAGTGTCTGGCTTTGAGTGGTTAAGCTACATTAACTGCATAGAATACTTAAGTGGAAAATTAAAGTATGAGAAAGAAAGAAAGAAAGAAATAGTTGTTTACAGTTCTGGAAGTTCAGGGTCTTTAAAGGTGAATTGGCAGAGGTTTGGCTAAGAAGGTTATTCATAATTAGAGCATGGTTGACTTAGGGTTATGGTATATTGGGGCAGCACTTTCAGAGGGCTATGCTCAAGGTATTATATTGGTATTAGGGCAGAAGTTTAGTTAATATATTATACATAATGGAGGATTTATTTGGTAGGGGGGTCTTAAGATTTTTTAGAAAATTACATCAATCGAGGGGTAGCTGTTGGGGTGTTTGTGGTTAAAATATGTCTGGGTTCTGACTGGGTTGCATTTTAGTCTCTTGTGTTTGGGGTTTGGCAAAGGTGTGTTTACCCAGGCTGATAGTAAAGTCAGATTAGGGGAGGGCTGCAGATTTAATCGGAAATAGTTCTTGAAATTGAGCGTATGTGCAAGCGTGAGCATCTGTTGATTAATTGTTATATCCTTCAACCAGAATTAACACCTTATGGTTGTTATGTCAGTCTGGAATATTCAGTATAAGTTCAACTACAATGGGTTTGGCAGGAATCAGGCTCTTGCCATGCTGAGTCACAGCACCCCCAAAGTTAAATACCAAATACATGATAGTGCTCCCGTGACTGGCTAATAGGGTGGTCTTTAGTCCATCAGGATGCCTTATTTAAAGGGAACGTGTGGGCCATCTTAATTTTATGGCCATACGTTAATGCAGGGGTCCCCAACCCCCAGGCTGTGGACCAGAACAGGTCCATGGCCTGTTAGGAACTAAGCTGCGCAGCAGGAGGTGAATGGTGGGCCAGTGAGCCTTAACTCCCTGAGCTCCGCCACCTGTCAGATCAGCGGCGGCATTAGATTGTCATAGGAGCTCGAGCCCTGTTGTGAACTGCGCATGTGAGGGATCTACGTTGTGTCTTCCTTATGAGAATCTAATGCCTGATGATCTGAGGTGGAACAGTTTTATCCTGAAACCACACCCTCACCCCACCCCAGTCTGGAAAAATTGTCTTCCATGAAACCGGTCCCTGGTGCCACAAAGGTTGAAGACTGCTGCTTTAATGTGATCTTATTTATCTCGTATATAAGAAATAATTCTGTGTATAAACATTTTGACATAGTTTAGGGGCCACAGTTGCTCCCATTTCATTCATTAGCAAGGATAGGCTTCTCTAAGGCATTTTTATCATCTGTAAAATGTCTTCCTGACATACCTGATCAAAGATATGACACTACATTAATAGATACATGAAAAGTTTGAAAAGTGAAGCATTCATTTCATATGCAACTTATTTTTAGTTTACGCATGGAAAAGTAGCAGCATGAGTAGATTTGAAACTTTTCTAATGTATTTTGCCTGTCTTTACTGATTGGGCAATGGGTCAGAATTAGAAAGTTTCTCATAAAGTATGGCAAGAAATAGAACTAACTGATGCAGGAATCCTTTTGCTCAAATGTTATCTAATGGCTATTGGAATTTATAAAACTGAATCTAAGTTTCATACCATCTAGTGGGAGGATCAGACATGGGAATGAGAGTTGTACGTTCTGAGGGAGGTAAGATGAACTGGTGCCGGGTGGGAAAAAGAATACAGAAGGCAACTGTAAAGTTTGGAAAGGCTTCTGTGAATGCTTTATAGAAAACAAGAATAGAGCTTTTTTTTTTTTTTTTTTTCTTTTTTTTTTACTGTTGCTCTGTCACCCAGGAATGCAATGGTGCGATCTCAGCTCACTGCAGCCTTCGCCTCCTGGGTTCAAGTGATTATCCTGCCTCAGCCTCCCAAGTAGCTGGGATTACAGGTGCCCACCTCCACACCCAGCTAATTTTTGTATTTTTAGTAGAGACGGGGTTTTGCCATGTTGCCGAGGCTGGTCTCGAACTGCTGAGCTCAAAGTGATCCCCTGCCTCGGCCTCCCCCAAGTTCTGGGATTACAGACATGAGCCACCACGCCTTGCCAGTAGAGCTGATTCTTGAAAAGTAAACTACATGCCTAGAGCTTTTTAAGCATTGTCTCATCCAGTTGAGGCCTGGGTTCAAATTTCAGCTCTGTCTCTTCCAGGCTTTTGACTCTGCCAAGTTGTTTAATCTTTCTAAATTTGTTCTCTTGTTTAGAAAGACAGGGTTGTTGCCAGGCTGGAATGCGGTGGTGTCATCATGGATCACTGCAGCCTTGATCTCCTGGGATCAAGTGATCCTTCTGCCTCAGTCTCTGAAATAGCTGGGACTACAGGTGTGCACCACCATACCCGGCTTATTTTTCTATTTTTTGTAGAGATGGGGTCTCCTTATGTTGCCCAAACTGGTCTCAGACTCCTGGCCTCAAGCTATCCTTCCTCCCAAGCCAAACTTGGTAAAGTTGAATCTTCGGTACTTTAAGGACATGGTTCAAACTCTGTGGCTGAAGCAGGTAGACTTAGAACAGCTGGTGGAGCATACACACATACTCTTTCTCTCCCCAGTGCTTTGCTGGATTCTCCTTTATGTCTGCACGTGTCCACTGAGATTGGCATGCTCTGCTCCACAATGCTGATGGCATGTGGTGGGGCTGGTGTTATGAGATTGAGAGGCCAGTGTTCACTTGGATTCAGGGCAGCCCTCTCCATACACTCATACCTTTCCTTTGCCGTGTTTTCAAGGATTTGTAGAATTACAACCTCATTAAAAGCATGAGGAGCAAGTTTTATCTCTTCTTTCAAATGAAGTCACTTCAGTGGAACAAGTTTTTGCTAGAGGAGAATGGTGGTCAATTTTTGAGCTCTGAAACCAAAAATGAAATAAATAGACTAGGCCAAGGTTCAGCAAACTATGGCCCATGAGTCAAACCTGACCCATTGACTATTTTTGTAAATAAAGTTTTATTAGAATGCAGCCACACTCGTTGATTGACATAATATGTCTGGCTGCTTTCAAGCTGCAGTCACAGAGAAAACCTACTTTGAGTTCTTTGTGTGGATATTGTGAAACCATCAGACAGTGACCACTAATTTTTAAATCTATTTGACAGGTTAGATAGGACCAGTGACTGTTGTAAATTGGCATAGCTTTATTGCATGTACTTCGAAGTGTTATTAGATAGGGACTGAACAAAAGTAATAGTGATTATAGAGTTATGTGTTTTATATATAGAGAGAAAGACAAATGTAACAAAATGTTTACAATTGGTGAATCTGTGTGAAGTGCTTATGGGTATTTTTTGTATTTTTGCAACTTTTCTGAAGGCTTAAGATTTATCAAAATAAGAAAAAATTTTTAAAGTGGCCCATGGTTGCTGCTGACAGGAGACCTGGGATCAGGGACAAGAGAGTTTGTTTTCACCAGTTTGTGATTTCTGATTTTTAAAATCCTGTTTGTATGTTCTCGCTTAGAAAAGTAAGTCAATAATGAAATAGATTAAAATGAGTTTTTTGTATGACACTGTAGTTTGCAGTACACTGGTCCCCAAACAATTGGAAAAATAAAGATTGCCAAAGTTTGCCTCAATATATTCAACTTAGTATCTAAATGTATATAGAGATTTAATTTTCCTTAAAATGCAAAATTTTCTTCATTTTATTTTAGGATGGTAGCAAAGTGTTTACGGCATCGTGTGATAAAACTGCCAAAATGTGGGACCTCAGCAGTAACCAAGCGATACAGATCGCACAGGTAACAGAAGCCTCTGCAGAAAGGCTGGGCACAACTGGTACCCAGGACTCTCATGGCTCTTTAAGTGAAATAATTATTATAATTATAATAAAAGGTGCAGTTAGACTCTGTCAAATCAGTTAGACAATATAGCAGAAACGTCTTCAGCACAGAAATAACAATTTTATAACCATTCTCATTCTTAACTAGTGTTCACAGATTGTCTTGTCATGGGTCTTCATATATGTATGGATAGAGTCATAAGGAGTTAGCGACATTAAAATCTATGAAATATAGGTCATAGGTGATCCGTGACATTCACAGGTTGGACGTTTTGACCTCATGCATGGCTGGTCTTCTGCCAACTGCGTTTGGTCGCTTACTCGTTCAGCAAGTGTTCTCTGTCTAGGGGCCAGTAATAGAGCAGCGAGTAAGAGGGGCGTTTCCCCACACATGTGGAACTTTTACCATTACTCAGGGGCCACTGGCAGGTACTGTGTGAAGAATGCCAAGGGCAGAAGTAATGAAGATAAGAGAACCTAGAACCAGAGGGTCCAGCCTGCTAAGGGGGCTTCAGGAAGAGCACAATGCTGAAACATTTTCAGGAAGGCGCTGCGTAGTCAGGTCACAGTGCTGCGTACTAGAAACATCTCCTTGATCTCTTAATTCATGTCACCTTAGTGAGTAAAACTGGTGGAATCCCCTACTTGTTATTTCTGAATATCTCCCTAAGGAGGAACTTACTTTCACTCGCACATATGTCTTATGAGTAAAAAAATTAAAGTTTGCTGGAATGGAAGGTAGATGTATGTTCTTGTGTTAAATTGACTGTTTTGATCAGGAGTGTATTAGTCCCTTCCTGCATTGCTGTAAAGAAATTCCTGAGACTGGGTAATTTATAGAGAGAAGAGATTTAGTTTGCTCGTGTTCTCCAGGTTGTATGAGCATGGCGCCGGCATCTGCTCGGCTTCTGGGGAGTCCCAAGGGAGCTTTTATTCATGGCGGAAGGTGAAGCAGGAGCAGGCACATCACATGGCAAAAGTAGGAGAGACAGCTGTGGGCGAGAGGAGATGCCACACCTTACAACAGCCAGATGTTGTGAGAACTCACTATCGTGAGGACTGCACTAAGACAGGAGGGATCCGCCCCCATGACCCAGACATCTCCCACCAGGCCCCACCTTCAACACTGGGGATTACATCTCAACATGGGATTTAGTGGGGACATGCAAACTACGTCAGTGAGGAAAGATTGGTAAAATGCTAAATATCTTTTGATTTTTATTTGCTATGACCTCAGTATTTAAATTAGTTTCTTCCCTTTGAATTGCCACAACTAAAGCCATTCAGCACATTCTTACATTTACCTTGGCCTGTTTTGTTTTTGTCTTGTTGAAAGCATGATGCTCCTGTTAAAACCATCCATTGGATCAAAGCTCCAAACTACAGCTGTGTGATGACTGGGAGCTGGGATAAGACTTTAAAGGTATAATGTGCAATTGAGGCATTGTTTGGCCCCGTCAGGATTGTCGTTTATTCTTGCACCATTTTGACTTCTACTCTGAATGGTCACATACTGGCTTCTCTTTTTTGCTTTTAGTTTTGGGATACTCGATCCTCAAATCCTATGATGGTTTTGCAACTCCCTGAAAGGTGTTACTGTGCTGATGTGGTAAGAGATTTTAACTTAACATGTATTTACTTTTAAAAAAACAAAATAAGTATTTCTCACCTTGTGGTATCTTGCAGTTAGCGGGTAATGTAAAAATCCTGCCGACTGTAGTAATAGATATAAAGGATAGAGTTCAGATTGCCTCAGTCGTCTTCAATTGGGAGATTTTTGTACTGCGTTTCTTTTAGAAGTACTTAATACTGGATGTCAAATTTTCCTGCCACTTGTTTGAACATATGCAGCTAGCTACGTGCCATCTCTAGTGTGACATCTATCATGTCCTTTCCATGGCAGTAGGAAAACTTGCAGTAACTTTGTGAGGTGGTACCAGGTCTTTGGGGACTGTCTCTGAGTGGGATAGAATTGAACTTTCTCGGCCAGGCACCGTAGCTCATGCCTATAATCCCAGCACTTTGGGAGGCCAAGGTGGGTGGATTGCTTGAGGTCAGGAGTTTGAGGCCACCCTGGCCAACATGGTGAAACCCCATCTAAAATACAAAAATTACCAAAAAAAAAAAAACAAAAATACAAACCCCTCTAAAAATACAAAAATTAGCCGGGCGTGGTGGCACATGTGTGTAATCCCAGCTATTTGGGAGGCTGAGGCATGAGAATTGCTTGAACCCAGCAGGTAGAGGTTGAAGTGAGCTGAGATC